CAGCTCACAGCAACCTCCAGCTCTTGGGCTTAGGCGATTCTCTTGCCTCAGCCTCCCGAGTAGCTAGGACGACAGGCACCCGCCACAATGCCCAGCTATTTTTTTGTTGCAGTTTGGCCGGGGTCGAGTTCAAACCATCACCCTCAGTATATGGGGCTGGCGCCCTACTCACTGAGCCATAGGTGCCACCCTCAGCTCTGTTTTCTCCTTAGTCATAACCTCTACTGCACATGTTGTTGTCAAGAACTGTGTAGCCTCAGAGATTTTGTCCTACTTGCAAACTAATAAACCAGCCTGTTACTGTAAGGGACAAAAGACATTGTTACTTTATCTACTTTATAAAAGCAGAAGCTAAAGTCCAGTCCTGGTGGCTCACACCTGTAATGCCACTCTGGGAGGCCAAGGTGGGTGGATTGCTTGAGCTCAGGAGTTCAAGACCAGCCTGAGCAAGATCTAGACCCTGTCTCTACTAAACATAGAAAAATTAGCCAGGTATGGTGGCCCACTCCTGTAGTCCCTGCTACTTGGTAGGCTGTACCAAGAGGATTGCTTGAGTCCAGGAGTTTGAGGTTGGTGTGAGCTATGGCACTCTACCCAGGGTGACAGAGTAAGACTGTCTCAAAAAACCAAAACAAAATAAAATAAAATCAGTAGCTAGAGCTTCGTGTTTGTTTGTGTGAGTTCCCCATGTCCCCCAATCCCCGCAAAGTGCCAGGTGCCTGACCACCTAGTGGGAGAGGAACCCAGGGATGGGAGAGTCCCCGCCTGCGTAGCACATGGTTAGCAGGCCTCGTCTTTGTTTTACCTCATCCCTCAAGGTTCCTTGCAGCAGACACAGTCCTGAGAGACGGCCTGGGTAAAGAGCTGTTGGGGTCATGCTTTCTTGGTGTACTCAGCGAGGACAGACAGGGATGCTCAGTGCCCGTAGCAGGTGCTTCTCCCCAGTTATGTAATTACTTGTTCATTGTCTGTCTCTCCAACTAGAATGTGAGAAACATGAGGCCAGAAACTTTGTCACTTTGCCTGTCTAGCACTCTAAACAATGCCTCGTAACATCGTAGTTGATCAGTAAATATTGGTTGAATGAATGGATTGATTTACATCTATTTATTCATTCTCAGCAGTCATTATCCATTTCCTATGGCCAGATCCAATGCTCCACCCTGGAGACACAGAGGAACCAGACGTTAATGACCAACTTAGGTTGACAAGGAGAGAGAGACAATGATGACAGTGTGCTCATTGTTGTGACAGCTGGGAGAGCAGAGGCATACTCCCTGTCTAACCTAAACCCTTCCTACTACAGATAAATTATGTCATGCTCAGAAAGAGCAGGAAATGTAAATGACTTCAGGGAGCCCCTGCCCTTGGCACAAGACGGGGCTTTGATTCCTCACAGCCTGGGGTGTGCGGAGCAGATTTCCTGAAAGTCAGGCTGTAGTAAGCACTGTGAAGGTAAAGTAAAGCAGGCTGGGAGAGGCAATGGAAGGAAGAAGCTACTTTAGGTCAGGAAAGGTGTCTTCCAAGAAGGTGACATTTGAGCAGATCCCCGAATTCAGGAGGAGTCCATTAAGTACATTAAAGAAGAGGCCAGGTGCAGTGGCTCACACCTGCAATCCCAGCGCTCTGGGAGGCCAAGATGGGTAGATTGCTTGAGCTCAGGAGTTTAAGACCAGTCTTAGCAAGACTGAGACCCCCATCTCTACTGAAAAAAAAAAATAGAAAATTTAGCTGGGCATTGTGGCAGGAGCCTATGGTCCCAGCTACTCAGGAGGCTGAGACAAGAGGATTGCTTGAGCCCAAGAGTTTGAGGTTGCTGTGAGCTATGACGGCACAGCACTTTACCCAGGGTGATACTGTCATCATGAAAAACAAACAAACAAAAACATATACTGAAGAAGATGCTTTAGGGAGAAGGAACTGTGCAGTGCAAAGATCCTGAGTGGGGAGCACTCCTGGCCCTTCTGAGAAATCGCTAAGAGGCCAGTGGCTTAAGCAGTTAGCGTAAGGAGAATGCGGGAGGAGATGAGACTAGAGGTGTGAGTGAGGGCCAGGAGAGCAGGCCTAGAGAGCAGTGGGCCACGGAGAGACTTTGGACCTGGGTCAGAACTTCCCAGGAGGGCTGAGATCCATTCGATCTACCTGTGCTGGGTGCCTGTCTCAGGCCAGGCCTCCTGCTGGGTACTGGGGACACAGGCACCAGAGTGTTCATCCTGCTTCAGGGAGTTACCAGTGGCAGCTAGACAGATAACAAAAACAGTATGTGACAGGGGAGTATCTGGGGAGCAGCCAGGGAGCAATGGATTAAGGTGCATTGTCTCTGCGGAGCTCACACGACACCTCATTGGGGAGGTCTTGGCTGAGATGCTAAAGGTGAGCTGGTGTTTGGCACGTGGGCAGTGGGATAGAAACCAACTGTGTGCAGGATCCATACTGCCATAAAGGGCAGGGATTGACAGGAGGCCAGAACCAGGCTCGGAGGGTCTTATATCCTGAGCACCCAGAGCTGGCAGGGCCATCAGAGACTTCTGGGAAAGTGGTTTCCTTTTTTTTTTTTTGAAGTTTTTGGCTGGGACTGGATTTGAACCTGCCATCTCTGGCATATGGGACCAGCACCCTACTCCTTTGAGCCACAGGCGCCGCCCCAGTTTTTCATTTTTGTTGTTGCAGTTTGGCCAGGGCCGGGTTCTAACTGGCCACCTTCGGTATATGAGGCTGGAGTCTTTCTCACTGGGCCACAGCTGCTGCCTCGAAAGTGTTTTTCAAATTGGCTTCTGTGGAGCCCTGGAGAGATGCTTTAGGACACTGTGAGGGACTCTGGAATCTGAGTGGGTGGCATCCAGAAATGCCACCCTACCTCCCTGAAACTCACCTGAGAGTTAACAGAAGTAACTCCAGCCCAGGCACAGTAGCTCTCACCTGTTTTCCTTGCACCCTGGGAGGCCAAGCCCAGTGTATTACTTGAGTTCAGAAGTTAGAGACCAGCCTGAGCAAGAGCATGGAACAACTAGCTGAGCGTTGTGGTGGGTGCTTATAGTCCCAGCTACTCTGGAGGCTGAGGCAAGAAGATCACTTGAGCCCAGGACTTTGAGGTTGCTGGGAGCTATGATGCCATGGCACTCTTGGGTGACAGAGCAAGACTCTGTTTTAAAAAAATAAAAAACAAAAAGTGGAAGTAATTCTGGCTTTGTCTCTATTATCTATTGAGCGTCCCATAAACTTTGTATGAATAAAGAATCCGTGGCTAAAATAATACCGCAGGCCATTGATCACATTTTTAACAGATTTATTGAAGTAAAATTGACACATGTCATCCATATTTACAGTGTACAACTTAGGCTGGGTGTGGTGGCTTAGCCCTGTAGTGGTCCTAGCACTCTGGGAGGCCAAGGCCAGTGGATCGCTTGAGCTCACAAGTTTGAGACCAGGCTGACAATAGTGAGA